AACTTTATAATAACAGATTCCATTAAGCATTACGAGATTAGTATAATGCTACGGGTATGTTTGTTTACTGTTATAAGAAACCCTGTCAAAGTCCTTTTATAGTTAAAATTCATCCTCTTTATTTAGCAGCCTGTATTCGGACCATTTAAAAATGTTTAACTGAATTGCTGATGCAATGCATGTACACAGTGACTCCCAGTAAAGCCAGCATTTATTGAATCTACTTATATAAAAGGCTGTGAACAAATAGTGCATTAATGTTCAGAGAGAGAGGATAGTGTTTGAATCAGTGCCGTATGGGCCTTCCTATATTAAAACCACCCCCGCCCCAAAMCAACCAAACAAAATAACCCAGGCAAAAGCTTGTCATTGCACTCGGTTAGATCTGTGTTTGAAACAAACCAACCCATGTCAGTCCTTGAGCAGTTTTTGCAGTTATGCAGAAGGGTGACCAAAATGATGCCCCGTAACCATTATCTTTAAATCTTCATCCACTGAAAATTCATCTGTTGTTTTTGTTGTAACTAGGAAAGTCTCACTAAGGTCAATTTTAACAATCACTAATACTGACATGCAACTGATAATTTTTCCCCCTACTTCTTTCATTTGGCATTTAAACAATTTTGCTTGAAAATCTTTGAAATAGTCTTAAACATGCCTAGACTGATGGACATGAATAAGTTTGTGTCTAAGAGGAGGAAAAAAGAAGCTACATGTGTAGATTAGCATATGTCAATAAACAGACAAGTAACCCCAAAGAATCTGTTATTTAAAATATTTTAATTTTACTCTGCAGTAGAATTGCACAAAGCTCCTTTTTTGTTCCTTTTGACCCATTTTCTGTGCCATTTACTGGAAAGTGCCTAGGAAAACTGCCAACAAGTCCTAATGTCTCTGGAGTAATGGGATCAGAATGGCCATGGTATCACCACACTTTTTATGGTAGAATTTGAAAATATTTCTTTTGTGGCAGGCTTTCAACTTTATGCAGAATAATTTCTTAGCTGAGGAATTTGGCAAAGAGTGCTCTGCATGACTCAGCAGCAGGTCTTTTCCATCTCAGATTTTGGTTATATTAATATTGGGGTTTTTTTTTACATGAACTTGTACATATTTATGATTTAAGTTYAGCTGCATGCTGCTGTGCTTTCTCTAGTTCCAGTGCCTGTCTCTCTGGTTCCTCCAGCAAAACCGCATGGCATATGCTACACAGGGATTCAGTATTGAGGTGGATGAAAAAGGAATCAGTGACTGGAGCAATTTGCTTGTTGTTAATAGCGTTAATTCTTTTATTGTGTCCTTAATGGATGTTTCTTAATGAGAGCTGTGCAAATTTTACAATGTTCAAGTTCTGTAACACTAGAATGAAATCATGACTTTTAGCTCTTGGATTTGGTAATAATTCTAGCCATGCAACCTTTATTAGTGCACATGCTCATTACTCATGCAAGTAATTGCACTGACTTGAAAGAGGCTCTCTGTAGCATAGGCACCGGCCTCCAGTTGCCAGGACTTTGTTAGAGACATCACTACAGAGTCAGCCTGGTTCCAAAGCAGCTGAGCAAACACACTCTCTCCAATACATGCAGGATGAAGTAAAGGTGCTCTGGCCAACCTCTTCAGTACCATGAGTGAAGAATTGAAAAGCTGCTATTTTTCTCTGTAATGAGAAGGGAACCATTGGTGATTAGGTCAAGCATAGACTAAAACTACCCTGGGGGTTTTGCCTAGCTCCTTAGGAAAGCAAAGGTGGCCTCTTGTGATTTTGAGTGTCCTTTCCCCCTGCTCCCCACCGCACACCTTTTGAACCCAAGGAGTACTATACCTCTAAACTGAAACAGGCATAGGTATCTCAAACGCAGTWACATTTCTTGAATTTCTGACAAAATTAATGACTAGGTAGAGATGAAATATCCATGTCAGTGTTATTGGAAAGATCAGTGGGTCAAGCTCCTGTGCAGCTCTGAACTGACCTCAGCACATCCTATGTAGTGGATATTCTCAGTGTCCTTGGAGAGACAGAAGATARAGTTTCTGTAAAGGTAAAAATGTGGGATATGCTTTTCAGGGGACAATAGACTTCATGTCTTTCACTGCTCATAAATAATTTGCTTATCACCTCCTAACTGATTGTCAAGAAATTTACTAGTTTACTAAATATTAGAATAATATTTGACTTTTCTATAATGCTTTTCATCACAAAATTCCAGTATCTTTTCACCATAGAGAGATACCAGTATTTCCTTTTTTTGTAGCTGGGGAGTGTTACACAGAGGACTGTTTTTGACYTGAGTGTAAAATTATACACAGTTCCCTAGTCTAAGACTAGTGTCCAAGCCACTGATTAATCTTAGTTTGCTAACACCAGTTGAAAACCAGCCTAAATATTTTTCCAGGTTTCTGGAAAAATTTGTTTCTGTTCATAAAGCTGAGGGGGAAACAAAAGGTCAGTAACAAAATCCTGAGAGTTCAATTTAAACTGTCAAACTCTTTTGAAGGCAAGATATATGCTATAATTTAAATAGTTAGCAATTTTTTATTTTAAAGCAGATTCTATGTAAGTAGTAAGATCAGTAAGAAAATACAGATTTGCATAATTTGAGAACTCTGAAAAGCCTTTTAGCTGTTCTTAATATCTTAGTTCTCCTACAGCTGCTATGAAGTAGATGAGCCCTATATATGCAGGTGACAGACAGGAAGGTACTGGCAGCTGCCAGCTTTATCACTGTCTGGCAAGTGCCAGATGTATCCCCATTGTATAGCAGTGCATATAGCAACTATATATGCTGCTAAATAGCCGTGCCTTCAGTTGAAAATACATTGTTGCCCAAATCTGCACTTCATAAGTCTTCCAAATTTTGTCATACGCTTTTCACAGAATCACAGAATCATTAAGGTTTGTGAAGACCTCCAAGATCATTAAGTTCAACCTTTGATCAAATATCACCATGTAAACTGAACCATTTCCTTTAAACAAACTGTGTTCAACTGTTTCATAGAGCTCAACTTGAAAGGAGAGAGCCTCAGAAAAAGATACAGGGCAATTTGAAGGCTACTTACTGGAAGTATAAGAATAGCATRCAGTGACAGTCAAAAACGTACAGTTAAAGAGCTAGGAACATGAAAATCAACCAGAGGTTGATATCTTTTATAAATAGATACTCAAAACCAACATCTTGAAAAATGGGATACTTTTCCAGTGCAGCACATCGTGAACCAAAGGAGCTTGTGACCAAGAGATTTTGAGGTCAGGAATTTTACATGACTGAAAATAGTCATCTGTATAAACACTGAAAACTTGTAGGACAATAAATAGCCCAGAAACTTGTAGGCCATAAGTGTAAGCAAGTACTTTGCAAATACCACACATGTTTCTTGCCTGTTTGTACCAAGTGACAGTGGTTCCTTGTAGCTCTCCAATGGGGTAGAAGGCTGTGTGAACATCAATTCCTGTGAGCCATGGTGCAGAAATCATTGCTTTTTATTTGACTATATGCATAGCCATCAAAAACAAAGAACAAATCCACAAAATCCCAACAAAACCTTGCAGTAATCTATTGTAAGATCTGAGAAAGGTTAGTGCACACTGGGCCATCCTGAATACTGCTTGTACAGTCAAAAAACTGTTTTCAGTTCTGTACTGAAATGAAAAAATGCTCGCTTTGATATGCAAGAGGTTGCTGTAGATCTRTAGATCTATATGCTGTATGCTGTAGACTATGTACTATGGATACATGAAAATGATATCATGGGCATGAACAAAGTCACGCTCATCAGCTGAAGCCATTACCAAGTGTATGTGTACTCTTAATCTGCCTCACTTGGGAATCCAATGACACCAACACGAAACACACTGCAGCCTGTAGCTGGAACAAACTGAGTCCAGACATAYAATGCTGCCACGCTTCAGGCAGCGGCAGCCAAATCCTTCTGGTCATATGCTCGCAACTCATGCAACTCATGAGGGTTTTAGAGGGCTTAGAAATGTCAACTTTTGAGTGCAAAAATGTTTTTTCTTTACAGCACAACTGGTGCTCTGCTCTGCTACTTGTTCTAGTCGGCACAATTTGTCATTGACCAAGTTTATTATTTACTGGTGAACCTTTGTGTGGCATCCAACATGTGAAAGTTGCAGCTTTTGGATAAGACAGGGAACTGCAACATGTTGARTTATGTGTTCTAGAGGGTACTGGTTTTCCAGCAACTGTCCTGCCACTACTGCTGTGGGGTTTTGCCTCAGCATCTACAGACGCAGATCGTTTCTCAGCATCAAATTGATGCTTTTGGGTAGTACCTTTTCAGGTAGGTGTGTTAATGTCAGTAAAGTGTTCTTGTCTGAWAATTGAAAAACACCTAATGGGTCACGTCACAAGACTATCTTTTCAACTGAGGGCTTGAAGCAAGGAACTGCTTCATCAGACTTAAATTTCCGGTTAATTATCCAAACAAATTGCTTCAACAGTCTTCAGTGAACGCGTATTTCTCAGCACTTTCAATGCCGCACGAGTAATAAAGTAACASGGCGCTGCGTTTGCACTTTGCCTCCTCCAGCGAGCTCAAACTAGAGTCCTCTTCCTTCTGCCGGCCGACACCAATTGATGACAGCAGCAAGGGGCCGGCACCTGTCGGGAGCCTGGGGCAGCCCCTGAGGGGTGAACGGCCGAGGGCCGGAGGCAGAGACACCGCCGCCCTCCGCTCTTSGCCGCCCTGCCCTCAGCAGCCAGTTCGCCCTCGGGCGCAGCGCAGCGACACACCGAGCGCTGCAGCGCTGGGCCCGGTGCGGCGGGAAGGAGCCCGGCCCGGGCCCCCGTGGAGGCGATCGGGATGCAGACCCCAATCCCGTCCCGGGGGCAGCCTCCGCCGACCCGGCGCGCCCCGCACCTCCACTTCATTTTCCCTTTCCCCRGCTGCCTGCGGCCGGGCGGTGCCCACAGCCCCGTCCCCGCGGGGCCCGCCCCTCCCCGGGGCGGAGCGCGGCCGCTGCCCCGCCTCCCCGGTCGCGGCGGCTGTCACGGGGCGAGCGGGCCGCACCGGGCGTCTGCGGGGCGGGGGCGGCGCTGCGCGGGGCCCCGCTGCTTCCCTTCTGCCCTGGCCGCAGCCGCCCAGCGGCATCCCCGCTCTACTACCATGTTCAGGCGGATTCTGCAGCGGGTAAGGCAGCGAGACCCACCCCAACGGCAAGGGCGGCGTGCCGTGCCGGTGCCGCTTCCTGGTGCCGGCCGGGCTCGAAGCTGCTCTCCCCGCGGCGGAGCCGGAGCCACCGGCCCTGCCCGTCCTGCGGCGCATGGTAGGAGTAGGGCCGTGGCGGCCCCGGAGGCCATGAGTTTATCCACTCTCGACCCCTCGCCGGGGGTCGGCCCGAGCCTCGACGGGACGAGCCGGGCCTACCGTCCCGCCTGAAGGCGGTGTCGTCCCCCGGGATGGGCGGAGGTGCTGGCGGCGGGCAGCTTCCCGCGGCCGGGCCTGTCGGAGGGGCGAGGGGCGGCCCTGGCCGGCGTGGCTGCTTCCCGCAGCGCGGCGGCGTCTCCGCCCGCCGCCTGCGCCCATCGCCGCTACTGCGGCCGCCCGCACATAGGGCAAGCTCAAGGGAAGCCCGGCCTGGGGAGAGCCGCCGCAGGGACCGGCGGTGGTTTCCTCAGGGGCTGGCAGGCAGCTGGCTCGTAACGCCGAGAGCCAGCCCGGCACCCACCGTCTGGCTGCCTCCCGTGTTTTAGGAACCGGCTTTTCCGGCAGCTCTGCCTGGCTTGGAAAGCCAAGTTGTGACACCCGTTTATGAAACCTTTCTCGCTTGCCCGGATCCCCACGCCGGTGCTGGTCGCCTTGCAGTTTGCCTGCGGCTCGGGTGGGAGCTGCGAGGGAGGCGCTGGCGCAGGGCAGGTGCCGGCGTGGTCCCGGCTCCGGGCGGGCGCTCGGCGGGGGGATGCACCGGAAAGAGTTGAGTCACGCCGGCGGTGGGCAGRCGGCGCTCCCGACCCCGTAGCTCAAGAGAGCGGTGTCGGGGTCACGCAGGAGGCGCTCACGGATAGCGGGGAAACGAGCTGCTCTCCCCGTTTGATCTGGTGCTGCTTGCAAAGCGTTCTGTCTACCTAACACTTCTGCGAAAATGTGTTTTAATGGAAACGCTAGCGTGCTTTCCTTATCTGCCATGCAAGGAAGCATTGCTACAAGAATGAGCGCTAATAGGAGAATAAAGTAAGCATGCCACCAGCTTTTTCAGTGTAAAGCATATTTCAGATTGTTTTTCGATCATAGACCCTGAGCAGGTGAAGATCTTGGTCTGTTAGGAGCTTCGTGTTAACAAGGAAGAACTTCCTTCCTGAAGTTTAATGGGAAGCTCTGCTAACAAGCAGGGAAACTTAGTACGGACCTAATTAAATATTGGCAGCAGTTAACTGGGTGTTTATTGGTTCAGAGAAATACCAGGCCATCAAAGAAAGTTATGAGAGAGGCAGAAGCTTGATACAGTGCCAAAGGGTATTTGCCCCTAAGTATGAATTCAGCTAAACATGTCTTATAAAAATCTGAAGTCAGTGCAAATATTCCTGTGTGAGAAACAGACATCTTTTCTAAAATGATTGAACAAATARCTATTCTCCAGTTGCTCCTGAAAATTACAGGATAACACGAGAGCTAATTGTCAAGAAAGGTGAAACAGACTTCTTCCTGCCTGAAACTTAAATAAACGCCAAGATTTTTAAAGGTGTTATTCTTTCACTTGCTGAAAATAACTTTGCTTTTAAAAATCCACCTCCCATTAAGAGGGGCTTTATGCATTTTATAAAAGTAGTGATTGCATGTACAACCTCATACATACATACCTACCATTTTGATTTGTAGTCTGGTTGGCAAACGGAAAAATGCTTCTGCTGTTCTTTGGTATTAAAAATGGACCTTAGGTTTATGTCAGATATTTTCATAAAGAACATAATTATTAACATCTTTCATGTGTTTCATGCACTAATTTTAAGGGTAATGAACCTCTTCTTGACCCTTTTATTGTGCATCATTTGTATAGCTGGCAAAAAAMCCCTGCCTTCCTGTCACTGAAACAGTTTCTTGCATATCAGTTTGGTTCATTATATGATTATAGGTGATGCCACTCTTTCTAGCCGGAGAGATAGTCATCAATTGTAATATAACTTCAGTTATGAAAGTATGTTTTTTAAAAAGGGAATTATTTATTACATTMCTTTTTTTTGTAACTCAGCTAACTGACAAGTTGCAAAGGAAGAAGACAACAGCTACAAATATCGTTTTAGTTTTGTATTTAATAAATTCTGATTCCTGAAGTTTTGAAACATGTTTCTTTTTTCTAGTATTTCTCTACCTTGCTCACCTTTTTATTTCTTCCACAGTTGTAATTTCTGTTTTTAAAAGCATCTTCACAGTGACTTTGACATATTTTCAAAGTAGAAAGTATTATATACTGAACATTACTCAATTAGTTTTTGAGGTTAGTATTTCCATGCAACTGGCTTCAACTGGCTCCTAATTTTAGGTCCTTTCCCTAMAAGATGTTTCTATTGTGTTTTCAACATGACATCTCAGGGATCTGTTTTGTATGTTTGCCCTATAAAGCCAAYCCCTCTTTCATATATTGTTGCTGCTTCTGGGTTTCATGCATTGTTCATCATGCTGATCTAGAAAAAGGTAACCTTTCCCAAAAGGCTTCTATGTGGAATGTCTGAGACACAGATTTCCTGCTCAAATAGTTTGATTTTTGKCAGTGGATTCCTTGGAGAGAAGTCTTTTCTTTATTGTGTTCAACTCTGAATGCCCTTTGTGGGCATTGTGTCATCTCTCTGCTGTTAATCTACAGGCAGGACAGTGGCAGTTGCCTCTGGCCTGTTAAAGCAGAGCTCACTTCTTGTACTTGCAAGAAGGAGGCATTTATTCTCAGCTGATAGGAAACTGATTACTTTGACCTCTTTCTGAGCCTTCTTCCCATTGCTCATGGTTTCTAGTAAAAGTGTGATTGCTATTTACGTTAGTTTTTGTCTTCATTATTTGTCTTTAACTGGATGTCTACAACTATTGGTAACTGTGCTGAGTTTGGGTGCTCTCTGTTGCTCTCTGTGCTCTTCTATTGCTTCCTGTTTCTAACTAACGCTTAAGTTTTTGGTCTTCAGATCTTGGTGTCTAGGGGAGAACAGGGCTTTGCAGGCATTTCTGTGGCTAAGGTAGTACAGACTCCTTTTACAATCAGCTCAGGCACAGATATTTATGTGTCTGAGAGCATTGCATCTCATGCCTGACCTAAAATTTTCTTTTTGCATTTATAATTGCAGGACTYGCTAGATAGCATATTTGCTTGGATAGATGCTGAACTGCAGCTGTGCTTCTACRCTCTCCTCAGGAGTCAAAGGGAGCATGTGTTTCTCTTCCGGGGCACAAAGTCTGCTTGTGTGAAACTTATGGCATGATGTGGGAGGAAAGTTTTATGCTCTCTGAAGTCAGGAGTAATTTCATTTTGCAGAGTAATAAAGTAATGTCACTGCTTTAAAAGTAAATGGTGTTGCTGTTCTGTATGGCAAAATACCCTGTTTCTAGCACTGTGAGTTCTTTRGCAACAAGGGCTTTGGTCTTCTTACCTTCTCATTTTTGTATCATCTTTGTTGCTTCAGGACCTTTTTATGGTTGTTGTAGTACCCTTATGTGGTATTTAAATCTGTGCTGGAAAAACTTAAATCTGTATTTGTTCACTTTTTCTCAAGGCTTTACGTATTTTTTTTTCAAAGTTTTTAATTTATTCTGAATTTAAAATTGCTGAAAAGAGTATTCTAACGGAAAGGAATGTAGCTATAGACAAATGACTGTGCAAAAACGACATGGTAATGATCCATATTTATWCTCCGTCGCTTTAAAGCACTAATTCAACTCATTCATGATATAATTTTCTATTCCTTTTCAGAAAGCAAGCTGCAATCGTTGCCATCCTTTTTGTTGTTAATGATGTTTCTTTATGTTAGCTTGCAGTTTCGAGAAAACACAGAGAATGGCATTATGAAGGTTAGCATATTACTTCTACAACTCTACGGCTAGCAGTAGAAACATGTGCTTCTCTGCAAAGTAAACAAATATAGCTGACAACTAGGAGAGAAGTGTGTTGGATCRAAGACTAACTTTATATCAGTCTTTCAACTCCAGGTGTGCCTTCAGGTGTCAAATGTTAATTTTGAAGTTGTGCATACATAGAAGCCTGTGTGGAATATTTTCTTCCCTCTGGGCTTAGTAAGTCATTCATTTGCTTGCCTGTATAGGCCATTTGAAAACAAAGAATGCCATTCTAAGTCTTTTCTTAGATCACAAAATCCAAATTGTTCAATTTGTTGTGATTTTTTTTGGTAAATGGAATGTGATACCACTGTGGTACATGAGATGTTTGTGTGAACTGATTTGGTGATGCAGTGATCAACTAWAAAAAGGATATTCCAAATCCCCCATTCTATATTTGGATGGTGAAGGATATTTAAATTACCCTACAACCTTTTAAGATAAAATAATTGCATTTGATCTTGGCTTGAATAACAGTCTTCCAATTTTATATTCAATTTTTCTTGCTACTCTGTATATTTTGCAAATGGATACTATGGACTATAACTTGAAAATTACTCAATGACCTCTTCCCTTCCCACCCTTCTTTCCTGCACATGGCACTCACCAGAAAATGTCACCATTTGTATTAAGCTTTCTAAATCTAGCATGCTTTCTCTTTTCAAGAGCACAMGTTTTCTGAAAGGTTAAAAGGATTTTACCGGGTACTGTGTAATAGTTTCTGTCATACAATGCATGCAATAAGATGCCATCCATTGCTTATTACTGTGATTATAACATGTCTGAAGCAAATACTTCAATCAACCATTGAGTAGTAACAGTGTACAGTAGAGTAGTAACAGGAGAGCTTGCATCCTGTAATAATCTCAGATTTGTGGTGCTAGAGCTAGCAGAACTTAGTATGAAAATCTCATTGCAAAATGGAGTCAACTCTGGGTTGAAATGGGATGGACAATTAACAATGTATAGTAGTGTTGTATAATAATTTGTGATATGAGGTGAAGAAAATATTTTGTTAATTGTTGCAGAAGGTTCTTGGGTTTGGGACAAAATGATTCATTAGGTGTGCTGAAAATATGTGGCTCAGGTATTGCAGAAGTGCAGGCAGATGCTGCCTGTCTAAAGAGACAGTTGGATCATCTTAGTGCTACTGATACATTAGATGCAGTATTCTAACGTATCTGTCTTCCTGGGAAACCTGGCTACGTCTTACTGTTTGTTTTAGATATTGTTCTTCTGATTGTCAGTGGAACAYGATGCACATGTTCATTAATGGAATTACTTAACTTGTATTTCAAAGCTTTCCTGCAGGATGTGTGTTTCTGTGGGCAGCACTTCTTAGGCTACAGAACAATTGGGGCAGGAAGGAGCTCAGGAGCCCCCTAGTCTAAGCTCCTGCTGTTAACAGGACCAGCTTGGATGTCAGCTCAGACCTGGCCTCACTCTAGAAAAGCTCCTCTTTACATCTAGTAGGAATCTCTCATTTCAGGTCCTCCTACTGTGTGCTGCTTAGACCAGCTTGGCTTCCTCTTTTTGATGGGCTCTTCATGGGTGGTGTGGCTGCTGTTTGACCCTCCCAAAGCTGTCTCTACTTCCAGGCTGAGCCAGCCCTTTTCCCTCAGCTTCTCCCACAGGGCAGGTGCTTCATCCCCAGATATAGTGGTGACATTTTGCTAAACTCACACTGGTTATCAGTGTTCTCCCTGGACTGGGAGAGCAGTATCTTGATGTGGTCCACTGTGTGCTGGCCAGTGGGGAATGATTGCTTCCCTTGATCTGTTGGCTGGGCTCCTTGTTAACACAATCCAGGCTTCTGACAGCTGTTTCTGGAGGCAGGGCACATTGCAGGGTTCTGTTTGGCTTGCTGGCTGACATGAGGTTTTGGTCCTTTTCAGCAGAGATACTCTGTTACTGCCAGTTTTCCTTCCCTGGCACAGGACTCTGCGTTTGTCCCTATTGMATTGCATAGGGTTCCCCTTGGCCTCTTTCTAAATCCCTCTGCACTGTCCTTCAGTGTATCAGTTGGTCCTCCCAGTTTGAAGTCCTGTGAAAACTTGGCACCTGTGGTCCATGCTGGGATGGAGCTTGTCTGCTGTCTGTATTAGTGACTCTGGGAAGAAGTACCAACGCCTTCACTTCGACATGTTTTGCATGTGTATCTTATCTCTGCTTACCCCCTTTTTGCCTCTCCTATTACTAACTTGCAGAGCTTGCATCAGCTTGCCTGTTGATTTTGTATGCTGTGCTAGAAGGAAACTGTTTGTATTTTCTTTAGAAATACAGTAMAGCTAACAGGAAAAATATGTGGAGTAGGAAAACTAGTGTAGTGATCACTTCACTGATGACCTCAGAGAAAGCTGGAATGAGGAGAGATGGTTGTCTTCTCTTACTGTCACCAGCCCTCAAAGCTTGGTGCTTCACTCCTTCTCGATTCCCTTTAGCCAGTCTTTAGAGCTTTTACAAAACTAAAATGTATTGCACTGGGAATTAAGCCCTTAATCAGTAAACTTAACCTTTTAATGACATATTTTTTAAATTTGATTAATAATAAAAGGTTGTTATCTTTGTTATCTTTTTTTTATCTATGAAAGTTGAAAATAGAACATTCATTTTAAAACAAAGCGGGAAAAGGTACTTAATTTTCAAAGAATGGGAAATTGTGTGCTGCAGATATCTTATAAGAGGTCATATTACTGATTTGTCTTCAAAAAAAGGATATATTTGAGCAAGAAAATTCTTCTCCAAATAAGGTTTTGGASGCACCAAGATGAAGAAAGTAAAACTCTGTCCCTCTCTCCATAGATTTCGATATATATATTTAAATTCTTTATACTCCTGTATTAAATGATAAAATCCTTTATAACATTACAAGTATTTCCAGATGGCTAAAATACAGCAGTAGCATTACTTTATCCCATTTGAAATTGTCATACTGGTATTAGATAATGAACTTTTTGTTCGTTACTGAAACTAGGATTGCATATACATATTGAGATAATTTTTTAATTATGTTTGCTTTGAGAATGCTAACTCTTCTGTCATCAGTCAAGCTGTGATATTCTGGAGATGAGTAAGAAATGTTAAATCAAATTTAAATCAAAGTTATAGTTAAGTAAGGATTATAAGATACAATCCACCTACCAGATTTTGAATCATGTAGTAGTTAGAGTTTATTTGCTTATTTTATCTAAGTTTGTAGTTTCAAATTAATACTGTTGTTTCGATTTTCATCATATTCATAGGAGTATATCTTTATAGGTTGTCTTACTGATTAACATGTTTTAACTTTACCACAGGCTTGATTGTTATTTTTATTTTTTCCCAAATCAAGGCAGTGTACCTGTTTGTGTGCTTTTTGAATCAGCAAGGACCTCAAACTTTAGTTTTCTGTCTTTCATATATTTAAAGGCTTGTTATCAAGGAAGTATGGTAATACTAGTTTACCAGTTCTGAAACTTTTTAGATTGTAATTTCTACTGTTTTCCTGTGGATATAGTGACCTAATTTTGAGAGTGGTACAAGGGCAGAGTTCAGCCAAAGTTTTTGTTTTGTGTTGAGCATCCATGAAAGGAGGTAGTTTAAAATCCTGGCCTTGCTTCTGTTATCTGCTTATTTTTTTTATGTATGGAGAGTCTTGGATGAAAGCTTTATCCAAGCTTTTGTTCAAGCACAACAAAGAAGTGTTGTGCTAAAAGTTGTGTAATTGCYTGTCAGCTTGTTCATTATTCTTGTGGGGGGAGAATACCTCTGTATTCCAACAAGTAGAAGAGAGGCCTTTCTATAGGATGTGTGCCGTGCTTTATTAAATATTTATTAAATATTAAAACCTAGAGTCTCATTTTTCTCTTCCCCATCTATTTCAGACTCCAGGTAGAGGTGGGTCTCAGAGTTCAGATTCGGATTCATCTGCCGCACCTGGAAATGTTGTGGATGTGAATAATGAAGGCTCCTCTGAGGTACTGTGAATGGGACTGCTGTCTGAAACCTTGGATGATGTTTCTCTGATCCATGAGGCTGTTGGGAGGAACTTTTGATGCCCTTCCTAAATAAACTCTTCTAAATGAATACTTGCAAATGTAATAGTCTAAAAATTCTTTGTTAATTAAAAAAGGGAAACTAGGCCGTGTTTATATGTAGCTATTAATTARGCTTGCCTAGCCAAGTGGTCACAAGCAATCCTTCCTATAGTTCTAGAGATGAATTATTAACATTAAAAGTAATGAGATGTAAGCTTAAGACTCCTTGTTGATATTTCATGAGAGCTGCAAAAAATAAGGCTTGACATTTTATCATTCTTTTACACCATTTTCACCTTGCTTCTGCTAAGCTATAAAGTGTACTGGAAACCTCTTCCTGTGAAATATCAAAGATACTGGGTTTTGTTTGGTGTTGGAGTATAAATCCTATCAGTTTTTCATGTGCTGTATGCCATACCTAATCAGCAGAATTGTTATTATTGTTGCAATTCCATATTGCAATGTTTTTGTATTTACAGCGTGCCAGACATTAACTCAGAAAAATGCAATCTGATTTCACTGGCTGCTGAAGCTTGTTTGTGCTAATGTAGCCTGATTACCTATCTTGAAAATGTTTTTAGTTTAACATACAAATACCCCTTAGGTTAATTACCTAACCTAATAGGTTAATTACCCCTATTACAGCATTAAAGGGAGGAAAGTGCTGTTTCTTACACTGAATAAAGTRTTTGCTGATTCAAATACTCCTGTGTGTGATATGATAAAAGATAAGAGAAGCTTTCACTGGTTTTTAAAATCCTCTTTATGCATCTGCTTATGTCTTCCTTCTTGAAGCCTTGATCCAGTCAATGTAATCARTCATTCCTTAGTATTTTGCTGCATGTTCTACATGTCACACATTTTTGAATCCAGATCTGTTTTGTGTGCTTATTTAACCATCCCTGAAACAAATAAATATTCTTAAATTGCAGACTAAAATATTATTACTTGTGTAGCTGATTAAGGCATAAAAATATGCAATGAGACAATTGCTTCTTTCTAAAGTTTTGCTAAAATTGTACAGTTCTGTTAACCTGAGTGCAACATCTCTAACTGTATAGCTTGTGGGTGCCATAAGGTACCTCAGTACTGATGGAGCAGTATTTTCTTGACATGGGATGAACTTTCAGACTGGTGATGTTTCTGCACTATTGCCCCATTGGTTATTCTTTCTACTGAGTCGAAACTGGGTCAGACCAAAGGCTGCCTTGTCACTCTTGTTTGATATGCATATATGACATAAAAAAGCATCTTTTAGTTATTCATAATTCAATAATTTCTTGCATTGGGTATTATCCTTAGCATAGAATTTCAAAATCTGTCTGAAACTGAGCTCCGAACCTGATGATGGATTTATAGATTCACATGGAATACTACTTGAATCTTAGCCTTCCTTTTTCCTCACAGCCGGCCTGAGGTCTTGTTTCTCCTGGAGATTCTCTTCAGAAGCACCATAGTTGGTCTGTGCAGAATGTTTGCTTTTTATTTCATTGAGATATTCTTACCTGGTATTCCAGTATTATGATGTCAAAAATCCATTAGCTTGTTTTCACTCCGGTTTCTTGGCTAGAGTTTCTAATTCATTTATTTGCAAGATTCAAGTGGAGAATAATTATGAAATCTGTGCAGATCTGTATATTTCCTTCCTCCTCAAGCCTGGTTAAAATAAATCCTGATTTTTGAAATTGTAATATGAAACAGAAGGAGTGGAAAAGTCTGAATTCAAACTGCGCAAGAAGAGGTGAAAATTTGCTTAAGTCTAGTCTGTGACCATGTCAGCACTTCAGGTCACCCACAGACTGCAGTGAAGTCTTTTATTCACAGAGCAATCTGCCCGAGGAGAAAACATTTGAGTCTATCTTACCYTTGTAGCTTAGGTCCCAGTGCAACTCTGTCTGCAGTACAGGGTTGTTAAATATTCCATGCTTGCAGTGAGTCTACAGATGAGATGATGCTTTCCTTAGTGTAATGTAACCACGTTAACTAGACAGGTTTGCCTCAGCTTCTCCTGCTGCTGGTGCAAACTTGCTTATTAATTTATAGAGGCATTTCCGCAATCTCACTGCACCACTGTTCCCTSTCTCTGAAACATCTGAACACTCTTATGGGAAGCCTCATGATGAATGTGATAGGATACCTGGTAATGCTCCATTCACAATTTGTTACGGAGCTTGTTCCTTTGATACATGAAGAGGGCACCAAGAGTGTCTGGAAAACACATAGTAGTATGCAGCATACTTTTAAGGCATGTCTTAGATTTGTTTATTTTCATGTCCTTAACTGTTCCTTCTTGCTTTATCTATCGTATTGGTAYGGTTTGCAGAAGTTATCTCTCCGAAAGGAAAATAGACTTTGCTTTTGGTGATTGTAGAGAGCTTTCAGCCTAAGAATTCGAACTTTTTTGATTCCAGATCTGCATTTTTTTGTCTCTGTTAGTTTCTTAAAAACAAATATACATTTCACAGGGCTTCATCTGTCCACTATGTATGAAAGTGTGTGTAGCTCCCACTGATCTGTCTGAACATTACCAGAGTGAGCACACTGGGATGGAAGGAAGACGGGAACTTCGTGACCTCTCAGCTATTAGTGTGGGTCTTACTTATTTTGTTTAAATAGCATTGCTAATGGGCTGCTTTAAATGAACTACATATTTTCTTGTGGTGTGGGTGGTTGTCATTGTTTTTAATTGTTTATTTTGATTCCTTGCTTAAACACAGTTTGRTCTCATATGCATGATTCCAAAGTATACATTCAGCAGAAGAATTAATTTATGTCTAGTTTTCTAGTTTGCAGTTGTCTTTCACAGGAAACATTTGCAGTATTGGAAGACTTGCAGTCACTGGTATTAAACAGCTTTTTGCATGACTTTCTTATAAACAAGACTGTTTCCTTATTTGCTTTGCTTCACATCAGACTCAGTATTATGATAAACATGTTGTTGGATCAGGTACATCCTTTGTGAAAATAAGTGTTTTGATCTCTTATAGGTGAACTTTTTTTTAAAGTGAATTTCTAGTGCAAGCTAAGTACTTTGGGTAAAAGTACATGGTGGATAGGAAAATAWAAAACCCCGAAGCTTTTTTTTTTGAACGTGTTTAAGGCTTATGTATTGCAGCAACATTATAAAAATACTTGGTAAAATAAATTTTAAATATATAATGTTGCTGGACTTTTTTATGTTCCCAAGAAAATGCAATTGTTTCAGTTGTAGATGTAAATTGTAGTGCRTTTCTAAATTCTTCCAGTTGTGCAGTGTGAAACCACACAGTTATAACCAAGTGTGTGGTTTTATGCACCAGAACTAGAAGAATTTAGATTCTGTAAGTTAACAGCCTCCAGCTGCACAAGGCTATCTGATTCATTTTGCTTCAAACCTTGAGAGATTAGATTTGACTTCTGGGGGTAGACAGCTTGCTGTGCACTAAATAAGTTTATATAGAGAAGGAGTTTTCCATTCTTTCTGCCAATGTTACTTTYGTTGAATTTTGAAATCTAAGTATTTATTCTAGGCTGTGCATGTGGTGTGATTTTATTGTGTTGTTATATGCATTTGCTAGGTAGTGCTTTCTTCCTTCCTTCCTTATGTGTGTTTGCACTGTATTTTTGAAGGGAAGACTTCAAATTGTTGGATGTTATTCTCAAAGATGATGAAAGCAATCAATACATTGATTATTCTAGAGATGACTTGAGATGTCATTTCAAGCATGAAGTTTCACCTATTGAAGTGAGTAGGATCTATGGTAAGACTGACCTGTGCTGTTCCTTGGAGTGATGTGGCACCTCCTCAGAGCCAGGACAACTTGAGTATGGCTTTTGATGGACTCCACTGCCTCTTGTTGAGGCAGAGGTTTCAGTAGTGCTCTGTTATGGTCAAGTCAGCTTTTTATTTTCTTTATTATCTGGTCACAATGCAAGTTCTGTACTTGAATAAGCTGTGGCATTCCTGATGGATGGTGTCAGTAGATTGTGGGATGGAGCCATGCAAGGTGGTTTGATTATCTGAGGAAGTTACTGTTTTATTTATGTTGGTTGTACTTGGTGTATTTTGTGGAGCTGACTGCAAGGTTTTTGCYCACTTTGACTTTGTTTCTCCACTGTCAGTTCCTTGGTCAGTACTTTTCACTTATCAAGAGCTGGTTCCAACTTTTTAACTTGATAAACTGTATATTGAGTGTGGCACTTGAAATACAAATTCTAGCTGTTGCTGTTTCATGTTGCTAAAGCTGTATTTCTTTGTACTGTGGTTCAGTAAATATCTGTAAAAGGTGAGAAACAAAGAAAGCAAATATATGTGTGGCRTTCTTTTCCAGTTTGATCTTCTATTATATCAGAATACTTGGAGGTACTGAAAAAGTGGCGAATTCTGTTAGTAGTGATGATCAATACTAGTATGAAAAGTTTAAAATGCTTGACTGCTGAGAAGCTGATTGTTCGCTGATGAAAAATAATGGTTTACATTTGWAGCAAATACATTGTTTACAACAGCAGCACAGCCAGGTTTTTACCTTGTTCAATCTTTGCCATTTCTGGGACAGCATTGTAACACTGACATAATGTTGTCAGTGTCATCTTATTTAGCAAACATAGGCATAGCAAACATTGCTTGCCTTGTCTTTCTTAAACTGGTGTTTARAGTTATTGCTTGTGAATAGTACTGGGAAAAGTTCAAATACCTTTTGGTGGAAACAGGTTTTTTGCTAGTGAATTCTTAAACAAGGAGATAGGATGTATTTCAAAGCTGATGTTCGGTTACACTTCGTGAAAACTGAAAAATTGTTACTTGGTTAACAAAAGTCGTTGTGCCTTGATTTAGATTTTGCCTATAGTTTCTTTGCTAACACTTCTTCCATGATGCACCTTATCAGCTGATGAAACTTTTAGCAAGTCAGGTCTTTGCCCCGCTGTTCTCCTTGCCCTTCCTTCCTCTTTATCCTTAATGCAGTGAGAATTGGTCTTGTTTTTCAGGCAAAGGCATTCATACCTGCAGTGTTCTGTTTTGGGAAAGGTTTCTTGCCATTTGCCTACAGCCTGATTTATGGCTGTCTTCTTGAAYAGCTATCTATGCAGCTATCTCCTTTTCAAACTGGGAGTTGAAACATACAATAACTGGTGAAAATGTCAGTGTAGCCCTTTCCCCCAAGTATTGATGAAGCCGTACTTTCAAGTACATTGGCTTATTCAGCTGCAGAAATAATCACCAAAATGCTGGCAAATATGCATCCATGTATAGCCAACTTAATGAAACAAATGCTGTATGAAAGTCATATGCATCACCAAGTTCCCAAACATTGTTTCCCAACTTCCATGGATACAGTGGTGTCACTAACAAAAGCTGTGTGGCAGCTTCTGGTTTCTTTTTTTTTTTTTTTTTTTTTTCGGAAAGGAAACATTCTAAACTGTGTGCAGCATTTCCTGACAGTCTCCATTGGACATTCTGAACATCTAAACAGTGAGTCAGTATAGAGGCATAGCTTGAGACTTCCTGTCCAGTTTTCATCTGAGGCATCCAAAAGAACCACTGTATGGTACCYCTGCAGCATTTGGAATATAGTGGCTGTTAATATCTCTTGTGTTATTTACCATTGGGCTAAATCTAAGACAATTTTCAAGCAGTTCTTTTGGGTAGTTTCCCAGATGTTTAGTAAGAATGTGTTTCCCGGCTAATACAAGCAAGATATGACCTTGATGTTTTCTGAATAGGCTTTTCATAGCAGAATTGTGAAGAGTGTAAATTGGCATAGTAGTTGTGCAAAAATGTTGCACATTGGGGTTTTATGTTAGTCTTTAAAAAGACCTAATTTCTTAATGTTTTTTTTTTCTGACTTGTCTCTTGTTGTAGATGCAGTTGATTGAATCTTCTGTTTTTATGCATCATCTTGGAATGTTGCAGACTGTTACTGCACAGAACATCATGTCAGTGCTGATATTTTATACTGTTTCAGTTGCTTCTCAAATTAGTTTGTGGTGCCTGTTTTGACCTCAACAGTACTTGCCTGCTTTGCACAAGAACAAAAATCATGAATTGGGCTACATTAGTACATTAACTTCCTGCAACATCCAAACAATATTAAGAGAAGGAAGCATTAGAGATACTGATTTGGTTTGACTTGGCCATGTAATATGGCTTTTCTTTAAGGAATAGAGATCTCACCAGATTAGAATTTCTAATTCATGACAAAATTGTAGTCTTGTAGGTTGTGACACAATTGTAGTCTTACTCATCAATAGCAATAAAAACATAAGAGAATTGTACTGGTTCTATTCCTGTCAGGAAGAATCTAGCTTGTTTTCCAGAAAGACATCAATTCTGCAGTATGGTGTAWAATACTGTATAAATACACCTTTCTTCTCTTTGTCCAAAAATTTAAATACTTGAAGAAACTGAACTGGACTGCAGGTTTTAATTATACACAACATGACCTTTTTACCTGCTTTTCTAATGATTAAATAGAGATGTTATCTGAGAAAGCCACTGTCATCTTATTGTTATGTAAAGACAGAGGAAAAGGCTTTTTCTGGTGAAAGACATGAAAAAATGTCAACTGTATTTTTCCTGTTAGCAGTATATAAAGGGAGTAACATAATTTATTTATTCTTTAACTTAAAATACTTCATGATTTTCTTAAATCAAAATGTATGCCTTCAAGTGCTGATCAAGATGTGTATCTTGTACTGAGGAAAATTGTGGAGGTTCACCTGCAGTGGAAAAAAACCCATGAATGGTGAGCTTACTTGCAGTCTTTAAAACATGTTGGATTTTATTCACAGCATACAGCTTACTGTGCCAGTACAGCTGTGTGAGAGTTACTAATGTAAGTCTGGATTCTGAGAGATGGGCAAACAAACATAGGTCATGGCCAGAATGTGTTTGAGTCCTGGGCTTGAATCACAAAAGCCCTTGGCTTTTTGTTCATGCAGCTCACTGGAAATAGGTTCTACCTGGGGGTGCTGGCCTGGTATTTCTTCAAGGTCAATGGTGAAACTTAGATATTCAAGTCTATTTAAACTTAAAGGCTAGTCATGTGAATGCCAAGCATGTTAAAGTGCRTAGTGGTTTTTGGTTTMGGCTAAGCTGTCCTATAGCATATATATGGCAGAATAGTAATGAATTTTTTCAATAGGGTAAAAGTGTCAATTATCCTGAAATAATTCTGTGGGTTTGTTTTTTTTGAGTGTGGGTTGGTGTTTTTTTTTTGGGGGGTGGTTTCTTTTGTTTGTTTACCACAGTTCTTAAAGAATGGAAAACAGTGAAGCAGTGGAGTTCCATGGTTCTCTAAGCTTGACTCATTATGTAAGTTCTGGAATAAAAATACAAGATGTTGCAGAAGCTCTGTTTGCATTAGTAAATCAAACTCTGTGCATGCTATTTGTGCTGCTATATGGTTCTCTACCACACACAGCTGTAGATCAGCAGCAATCATAGCATCCTAAATGGGACCACTTACTCAATTCTATGCAGTATTAAAATGGGATTGACTGCACTATCATCACATATTGCTAGAAGGTACTAAGGAAGCTGAGTTGCTGTAGCTATGACTTTAAAACTTAAATAAGGTGCCTTATTTCTTGGATTCCAATGACCTGAGCA